GACGACGCGCAGCGTTTAAAATAATATAGTATAATGTAATGTAATATAAATATAAATATAAATGTAAATATAAATACTAATATTAATATTAATATTAATATTAACATATAGATAGTAATACAAATATTAAAAAGTATGTTAATATAAATATTAATGTACATATTTATACAAATATTAAAATAATATTAATATTGATTTTAATATTAATATTAATATTAGTATGAATATCAATATCAATATTAATATTAATAATAATTCAATCTAAATATTAATATAAATATAATATAATATAATACAATATACTGTAATATAATATCATGTACTTATATCGGGACTGTTAGGGCTATGACAAATTATCCCGAGTCTTCAGAAGCGTGTCTATGGGCGGCTTTGCGGCCTTCAGTGTTCATGGCACTGAGAATGGGGGGTGTTTCACGGGACCGGGTGAGTAATCGTAATTCCGTCCATAAAAACCCCAAACCCCAAACCCTAAACCCTAAACCCACAAACGCATCCCACTGACAGCTTTCTGGTAAAGCTACTGGCAGCCTTTGGACTGACATGTCGAGCCCAAGTGAACCCCCTGAACCCGGGATCCTGACCGCCAAACCCCAGTAACCACTACACCCCTCGGCTAACCCAGAGAGCTACCGCTTAATTGAGGAATATACCTTAAATCATATTTAGCCCCTTATAATTTAAGGTATATTCCTTAATTATTGGGTATTGGGCTCTCTGGGAACATAGGGGCCTTAATAATTAGAATAGGGTTTTGGGGTATACTATACTGTAATGATCATAAGGAGCCCCCAAAATAAATGTAGGTAATTCTTAAGGCCCCTGATATTAAACCCTGAATCCTTTATCTTGAATCCCAGACTCTGGAAAGCTCTGCCGGGATGTTGCGGGGCCTTCAAGCTGGGGTATGATGTCGGTCTGGTCCTTCGCACGGGTATTTTCGGGTTCAGGGTTTAGGGTTTAGGGTTTAGGGTTCAGGTTGAGGGTTCTGCAGTTTAGTGGGTTTCGAGTTTAAGGATTTCGTGGCGATTTTGGTGGTATGTCGAACACGATCTAGGATGCAGCCTGCACCCAACGGACGCGGCAGTATCAAGACCAGCATCGATGACGGCTTAACTCTGGCAGCTTACCCACTCTCCTGGATTCTCTTGACTGCCGCCTGGAATCTGTGTCATGACTGTTGCATCCTGATCCGGCGGGAATGACACCGCGCGCGGACCTGCTCAAAAGTGATCCAAGGCTGTGCATGGATCCTAAAGAATTAAATGCTGGACCCGTGACTGTTGTCAGGAGCTTCTGTCCAAAGTCCAGTCAAGATTGAAATATGCAAAATTGAGCTAGGCACACCTGCACACTTCCGTGTGGCACAAGTTTCTCCTGTACCCGCATTCTCCCCTTATGGAAGAACAGCCCTGGAAGATTCACAGGAAGGAGTTCGCATGGCTCCGGTGCAGCATTCGCTTTTGGCATCTTCACGGCACAGCTGACACTGCTCACCACCGCAGCCTTGACACTTGCTGTCGAAGCAGCTGTTCACCGCCTCCTCTTTAGAGTCTATGCACATCTTTGGGGGATCAACGGAATGGTAGTGATCGTCACAGCAGCCGGCGATCGTGTTCGCATCCTCACGGCACAGCTGGCATTGCTCACCACCACAACCATGGCATTTGGTCTCGATGCAACTCTTCGCATCCTGTTCCCATGCACATTGCAAGCCAGCGGCACCATAGAGCCCGTCACAGGGATCCTTGGATTCGGCTTTGCAGATGTCGATGCCTTCGGTTCCGGAGCAGCAAGAACTGAGAGTGTTGGCATCTTCTCGGCAAAGCTGACACTGTTCGCCCCCGCAGCCCCTGCAGATGGTGTCCATGCAAGATGACACACAGGCAGAAATGGTGCTCTTGTCTTCTCGGCAGAGCTGACACTGCTCACCACCGCAGCCACGGCATTTGGCCTCTACGCAATCGTGCACGGTCTCTGCTGAAACCAATGCCACCACCAAGCCGAGCACAAGAGCCCGAGCCATGGTCCGAAGTCGAGGCAAAAAACACAAGCCAAGCGAGACAATCTCCTGCGCAAGCCTTCTTGAGCCCATGTTGATGGTCCATTGGGAGAGCTTTCCTCCAATTTTCAGCAAGGCATCTTAGTCAAAATCTGAAGTGGCTCTGTGCAGCTGTGCTGCCTGCCAGATGATAGGGCGGGGGCAGAGCCCGTGTCGATTCAGAGATGGATGACTTGATAAAAAAAAACACTCTCTACAGGGGCCTTCATAAATAGAATAGGGTTTTGGGGGATATTATACTATAGTTGTCATAAGGAACCCCCCAAAAAAATATATCATAGGTACTTATTAAGGCCCCTATACCCCCCAAAAATATATATCATAGGGTACTTATTAAGGCCCCTATATGGATCAAGAAACTCCAGAGTCAGACGGAGGTCCCGAAACCCTGAACCCTAAACCCCTAAGCAGGGCTTTCGTAGAGATGAGGACGAGCAGATGCCGAACACAACTTTAGGGTTTAGGGTTTAGGGTTTAGGGTTTAACTTCAGCCGGAACAAGCAGAGTGACGCACGCTAGCACCTATGGAAAAGCTAGTCTGACGTTTTATGCTCTGCAGCTGGACGTGGCTCGTGTCCGCCAGTGGTGCAGCAGTCCTCGAACTCATCGTCGAGCCAGACACCTGCCATATTTGGAGGACTAGGGTTACCGTATTGAGGGGTCCTCACACAGACAGAGGATCCCACTATTCAGGGTCGTTCCTTTACTTGCTTTCCAAAAAAAATGTACAACCCACAGCTAAAGCAGCCTCCGACCCGCTACTGATACACCTCCTGGCTTTGCGGCCTAGTCTTGCTGGGATCTCTACGACAACCTCTGAACCCTAAATGCAACATACCGGCCTGGGGTGGTTCTGGAATTCGAGACTCCTCTCATGGGGGGATCCTTGCAATATTGTTTAGGGTTTGGGCTTCAGCGTTTAGGATCAGGATTCTGCTTTTAGGTCTAATCTAAGTTGGCCCGTTAGAGCCTTTGAAACATGTCCGTCAATAAGACCCCCTTTAGACCCAATAAGAGAAAGTATGAAATGTCCCAAACAACTACCTGGCAAATTCATTAGGTTCCCTTGTTCCTGAAACTCCCTAAACCCTAAACCCTAAAGTTTGCCCTGAACCCTAAACCCTAAGCCCTAAACCGTATCAAGCAAGAGCCGCACTTACAAATTTACCGACTCCTCAAACACCATGCCCTTTCTCCGAAAAAACTGTAACCCGTTGTGCTCAAGTAAAGCTGGAACTTGGGCGCAAAAAGATAATACAAACCTGACTTGAGATTCTATTCTCTGGGCTAAAATACCCTAAACCCTAAACTCCAAACTCTAAAACTAAGGGGGCTTGAGGGTTTCGGGCTCAGGTCCGATCCTTTTCTCCATGTGCTCTGTACCAGTAGGGCCTTAGGTCTAGAGGCCAGGCATGAAAGCCCAATAGACTCCAAAATGGCAATGCTCCAAAATATACACTTAGGGTTTAGGGTTGAAGGGCTTAGGTTTAGGATTTTAGGGTTTAGGGTTTAGGGTTGAAGGGCTTGGGTTTAGGATTTTGGGGTTTTGGGGATTCAGGGGTTTTGGGGTTTAGGGTTTAGGACCTTGAGGCCAAACAAGAAGTTCACACTTGTGCCACTGCAGGCCCCCCTGAAAAGAGAACATGTCAAACACAGCCGGCCCGAAAGCCTCGGCACCCAAGGAAACCTCCTAGGGCTTAGGGGTTTAGGGGTTTAGGGATTTAGGGGTTTAGGGGTTTAGGGTTTAGGGGTTTAGGGGTTTTCGGGGTTTAGGGGTTTAGGGTTTAGGGCTCCTAACCCTGAACCCCTCTAAGACCCTAAACTCTAAAACCTTAACCCCCAAAGCCCTGAAACCCCAAATCCCGGAAACCCTGAACCCCTCAATTAAACCCCAAAACCCTAAAGCCCTAAAACCCTAAACCCGAACGTCAACCCGAGCCTCTGCGACGAAGTTGATGGGTCACCTGAACGGGGCCTACAAGGGTACGATACAGGTACTAAAAGGGATCTTGAACGGATCTGTAAGGGTATTTCAGTGTACTATAAAAGGAACCCTGATAAGATCAAGGGGTAAAACGTGAATCCGGGTTTGACATTCAGGGTTTTGAGGGCTTGTCCGACAGCCCCAGAGATTTGACAACTCACCCCAAAGACAAAATGGTGAGAATCGAAGCCTGTAGCAGCAGCGTGGTACCGCTCTTTGGCGGCACTGCAACCACCACCTGGTCTTGTCGCTTCTGCTGAAGGACCCCGAAGCTCAAAGCCCCTATGCCAACTCTTTCAATGCCTGCCACTACCATCATCATCACCGCTGCCCCCACCAGTGCCAGCACAGAAGCACCCTCAGCGTCATGTTTCTTACCGTCGTCACCATCACAGTAGAAACCACCATCAGCATCACAATGGCATCATCTCTACGAACATCATCAGCAGCCCCACATATCATGCCTCATGTTTCCGCTGACAGCACCGCCAACAACCTCGTCAAGAGCACTTCTAGCATTTACTACCATTGCCATGACCATGACCACGACCACGACCACCGTGACCACCACCACCATCGTCGCCGCCGCCACCACCACCACCGCCACCCCCACCACCACCACCACCACCACCACCATCACGATCACCAACCGCGCCATCACCACCAGCACCACCACCATCCCTCATGATCTTTGTGGCCATCGTTGGCGGTCCAGATGCCACAAAACTAAAGTACAACAAACACTGTCCATAGTAATGGTAATAAACATTTTTACTAAAATTGAAATAATAGTGAGAATAATAACACAATTATATTGTTCAGAATAATTAGTATTATTTTTAATGATAATAATAATAAATAGAAATTTCAATAATAGTCAAAATAAGACTAATGCTAAGAACCGTAGCAGTAATAACAGTAATAATGCTGCGAATTGCAGCAGCAATAATAGTAATTATGACAATCATAACAATAATAACAATAATAGACAGAAGAGGATCCAATAAAGCATGAGTAATAACAAGAACATTAGTAACTACAAGGTTAGCAATACTAACAATAGCACTAGCACTAGTAGTATTCATAATAGTAGTAAGACTACTACGAAAAATAGTAACAATAATGACAAGAATAATAATCTTAGCAATAATAATACTAGCAACAGTAGTGCACCATTCCTATTATTAGAAGTAATAGTCGTCGTCGTCGTCGTTGTCGTCGTCGTCGCAGTAGTAGTAGGGGCAGTACCAGTAGCAGTAGCAGTAGCAGTGCAGCAGCAGTAGCAGCAGCAACGGCCATCTTAATAATAATAATCATAATCATAATAGTAATAATAATGATAATAGTAATAATAATAATAATAACAATAATAAACCCCCAAAGCAGTACTGCTAGCTATTCAGGCCCCTATAGTAGCCAGTCCCCCTGGTGATAAGGACTCTGGGAGTGTCGGTCCTGGCGCGGACACCTTGAAGCGGTTAGGGCCAGGAGCTTAGCGACGCTCCAGGGACCTCTAAGGATCAAGAACATAAGAGCCCATGAATGAACACTGACCATAATTCACCCTAAGGGTTCATGTACCGAAATAGTATATAATACCTTGGCCCTAAAGTAGTCCCTACATAGGTACTTTGGGGCCAAAATATGTACTATTTGGCTACATGGACCCTTAGGGTAATCGCAGTATCCATATTGATGATCAGAGTAGTACTTTAGTAACTGAGAAAATCGAAGTGAGTTCACAAGCACTCACAAAGACAGCCTCCCACTCGCCGCAGCCCAGTCATTCCTGATGATGCACAGGTGGCAGACATCGTCGCCACGGAGGCCTCAGTTCAGAGCACAAAAGCGTTCCCGGCCTTACCTTCCTCCAGATAAGCTACGATTCTGGAATCCAAAGGCTCCATGTACCCATATAGCATATACTTAGGCCTTAAAGGGGATCCTATATAGGTACTTTAGGGTCTAAGTATATACTATATGGGTACATGGAGCCTTTGGGGAACTGGATTCCCAAAGACGATCCTTTTTATGGTTTGGGGAACCTAGCTCCATGAGTTGGGCATCGTGTTTACCTACCCAAAAGGCTCCATGTACCCATATAGTATATACTTAGACCCTGAAGTACCTACATAGGAACCCCTTTAAGGCCTAAGTATATACTATATGGGTACATGGAGCCTTTGGGCTATTTTGGGGGTGTAGGTTGGACTACGTACTGGGAAGGGCCTTTTCTAGGTGTTGGGCCAGTATTTCCCTACTTCTGGGTGGTTCCAACCCTCTAAACTCTAAACCCTAAACCGCTTAGGTATGTAACTCTCGTTAACTACAGTTTAGCAGCCATTACCCTTTAATTAGCAGGTAGAACCCATAAACAAAAACTGCAGGCAATCAGAGTCCCAGGTAAACCCTAAACCACTAAACCCCAAACCCCGAAACCCTAAACCCCTGAACCCTAGACCCTAAACCCTACTAAACCCTAATCCCCTGGTGCCACTGCGAGCTGAGATTCGCGAGGACGAAGCGATCGAATACCTGCGAAGGCTTCGGCGTAGGGGACGCGGGTGAGCCAGCCCCTTGGGTCTAGGATGGTTCAGGGCTTAGGGTTTTGAGGGTTCGTTTAAGGGCTCCTACCTTTTAGTATTTAAGCTTGCCTAAACCCCTAAATCCAAATCCCCAATCACTAAACCCTAAACCCCGTAAAAGCCCTAAGACCCTAAGACCCTAAACAGTACACCCTAAACTCCCAAGAAGTCCGAAACTCCCTAAGACCTTAAAAAGTACCTATAGTCTCCATTGTAGTTCGTTTTTGCGGCTACCTTTTAGGATCCTTAAGATAGGACTGGTTAAACCAAAAAAAGGAACTACAATGGAGACTACAGGTATAGTTTCTTAGGCCCCGCAACTTCGTGCGTAAACCCCAAACGCCATAAAGCCAAAGCCGGTGAAACCCCAACACCGATTCTGAATTACAAGCCCC